CGTTCCAATTTTATGCATCGTCGTAAATAATAATAATAATAATAAAAAAACTCCCGTATTTTATTTAATTTAAAAGAGAGAAAATTGATCGTAAAAAAAAAAAAAGGAAAGAAAAATTGTTGCTACGATGCGTAAAATTCTAACGTTTTGAGTTTTTTTAGTGGTGGTGCGTGTCGATGTCACGTGGGTGATCGTTCGCACGTGTTCCCACGTGAATATCGGCTCTTTGCCCCGAGAACACGATATAGCTGTGTGTAAGTAAATTACCCAGTACGTCGAACCTCCTGTTAGAATGAATACAATATACCGAATATATATATATATACATATATATATATATATATCTGAATCCTCGAACATAGCTCGCCTTTTGCCTCGAGTATCATTCCATTTTAATTAGGTCGCATTAGTCACCAATTAATTATAGTTAGTCTCGAATTAATCTCTTATATAGGCGATAGTTTAGTCCCAAATATGTATTTTGATCCAAACGTATAATCGATCTTACGTATTAGAAATTATCCTTTTTTGTTTTTTTTTGTTTTTGATACATTATTCTGTTGCAACTGTTTGTAAATTTTTTCTTTTCTCACCGTTATCTCTTCCTCCCCTATAGTGGCTCTTTTTGATACGATAGTAGAGAAATCGAGGAACTCACTTTCGAGAATAATATTTTTAATGCAGTAAGTTCCTCGAGTTAGATTTATTAGCATCCTCCAGTTAGATGCATCGCAGTAATTGTGGACGAAAAAAGGTAGAATGTTTCTTTGTGTTCTTTTTTTTTTTTTGCGTTGGCAACAACACTGCAGCGATTGGTTTGATTGTCTTATTTGTTATCTGTAGCTGATTTTCTTGTAAATCAAGGAAAATTAATTAAAATCAGATTAGACATAAATGTCTTTTGCAAATCGTTGAGATGATAATTTTTCTTCTTTATTCTTTTTATTTTAAAAAGAAAAATTTACAATTTTATTTAAGTAATGAAAGTTTTTCGATAATTTTTTTGCGTCACTTATGTCAACAGATCAAAATTGAAACTTTTCTATCTGAATTACAATTTATATGATCATAAAATTATATTAATATTATCAGATACAAAAATTGCTGCAGTGTTTCCAATATAGAAAAACAAAAAACACTGTATAAGATTTTTGTCCATACTTTGTACCCTTTTCTTTCTTATCCATCTGTAACTCTCTTTCTCTCTCTCTATTTCTCTAACAACCAGCATAGTATATAAATTAGAAAATCTATTATATTGATTACCGTTTTCCGTAGAATCGTTGCCTTGCTAGTTCTCTTCCACAATGGCTTATTTTCCACAATATACTACGTAATACAACAAGAATATACAAAAAGTTTTACACGAGGATTACTCTTCGACACGCAGACAACAACATGACAATTATTACTACTTTTAAGATAGATAAATTATTCAAGTCTTTCCACCAAAGATTCGGTGACGGCCTTTTCTTTTTTTTTGTCGAAACGAACGATGCTGTGAACAACCAAATGTTTATCATCGATCCAACGACGACCATTCGTCAGATTATCGTGATACGATGGCAAATGTCGTCTGTTGTCGATCGAAAGAAAAAACCACTTCCTCCATATTTAAAGTATCTATTTTGTAGACAAGTATATTTCGATATTTATTTAGAATAATGGTGCCACTTATCTCGTGTGTTTGATAATTTAAATTTCTATGATTACGAATAATTTATTTTTAATAATAATTTCGAGAAATAAGAAAAGATTGAAAAAGATTTTGAATTTTCTCTTTCAATCTCCTTATTATTTTTGTAATTTGAAAATTTTTCTAAGTTTGTGTATAAATATATTAGATTATTTCAAATGAAACACGATCAAAGTTTTAATATTCATTATCGCGACAATATGAATTTATTTTTATTTTTAAACCAAATAATTATCTAATCTGAATAAACCAGGCATAACAATAATAAATATTCATCGAGTTTGATGAAACGTTTCTATTTAAAATTCAAATACCGAATATCCAATTTAAGGGTGGCGTCCTTATATTCTAAATAAATACCATCTGGAACTTTGTCGTAACGTATTGAGAATTAATTAATAAATAACGTATTTAATCGAGATTAATTGTGAGTAGATAAAACAGTAGCGAAATGTGCCGTACGTAGGCATGTAGTCGACAACTCGAGTACAGTACTATTACACCATTTATATGTGTGTATATATACGATTATGTATATATACGAATGATTAGTTAGATAAAAAAAAAAAAAACGTCACGTTTGTTCGCTGTGATTGGCTTGTGTACAATCTTTGTCTCCACCATTTGTTCGCATATGTATATGTACTCTTAGTAAATCTTTTAGAAAAAAATATTTGCAAATCGTCGACGTTCCAATTTATTAATAAACGATGTTTGATATTTTTTTTTAGATTTATATAAAGATGATACGATATTGTTATTTATATCGATGTTACAGAGAAACATCGACGATTTGTGCGTTGTGTTTGCATGCTTACTTAATATTTGCATTTCTACAATGTACAGTGTAAACGTGACGATTAATCAGGCGTCCTTTATTTTTTGTACATGGTACTTCTTTATATGCTCATTTATAAACACTTTACAAAAATAAGATTAATTAATTTACATTACGTACGTAAGAATATAATATAGCTTTTTTGAAACATATACAGGCTTTGTCAAAGTGATCCACAGGCACATGATTACAATTTGCTATATATATATATATATATA